TCAGTGAGACCTTTGCCTGTGACAGCTGGGCATGAGGTCTCAGTCACCAGAACTGTCCCCAAGTAGAAACTGTCCTTCAGTCTCCTTCACTTAAGGTTAAAGAAAAAGGCTCCAGGGTGAGAGGACACAAGGCTGTGGGTGGTACATCCTGTTACCTAAGCAGGGTGTACCTGTGCCTAAGGCTTCTAACCCTTGGTGGGACAAGAACACCCAGAACACATTTCTTCCCTACCTGCATTCATGTTCATGCATCTGTAAAGCACCAAGGCAAGACAAATGATGCTGATGAGACAAACTAGAACAATCCATGTGGTGGGGTTCTTGTACCAAGCAGGCTCTGGGAAGAGATGGGAAGGGAAGGGAGGGAAGGGGAGAGGAGTGGAGGAGAGGGGAAGGGAGGGGAGAGAAGGGAAGGGTAAAGGAGTAAAGGGGAGGTGAAGAGATGATGAAGACCATTCAGCTCTCAGCCCTGATCCCAGCTCTGCACCCACACCCTCCTTACCCCATCTCAGGATGAGAGGCTCAGACAGCCCCTCATGTTCCACATGGCATGTGTATTTTTGCTCCTTCCCAAGAGGCACCACCACAGACGCCCAGTTCTGGAAGGTTCCATCCCCCGAAGGCCTGGTCTCCACAAATTCCATGTCCTGGGTCAGCTCCTCCCCATTCAACTGCCAGGTCAGGGTGATGTCAGCAGGGTAGAAGCCCAGGGCCCAGCACCTCAGGGTGACATCACCTTTAGATCTTGGGTGACGGCTCACAATTGTCTTTGGGGGTTCTGAGGGAGAGAGTTGAAAGGATGAGGCATCTTGCTTTATTCTGGGGACTCAGTAGTGTTAGTGGGACCATCCTGGGATGGACAGGAGAACTGGGGTGGGATTAGAGTGTCCATGATCTAGATACCAGCTAGAGCATATGCACCTAAGGCCCTTTGGAATGCCTTAGGATGTGAGTGCGACAATATGTGGCAGGAGGCTCCAGGTCTCTGCAGACTTGGAGAAAGGGCTGGGTGAAAGGCAGGAGACTCAGAAAGCTGGAGTCGACTCCAGAGACACTGAAGTCTGTGGCACAGAATGAGGTCTGAGAAAAAGCTCCCTGTGGGTCCAGGGCCATTGT